AATTCTCACTAACAGTATCCAAAGTCCCTGGGTCAGCGTTTGCTAGCAACAGCAGAAGCAACCACTATCAGCTTGAGGAAACCAGTATTGTGCTCGCAAAATAAACTGTAAACTCCGAGCTTTGCATGGCCAACAGTCACATAACCGCCTGCATTTTTCTATGTTTTCTCTCTCCCTTATCCGGCTTCAACAAACCCTCATTGCCACGTAACCAGCCGTCCATTATCAATCCCCAACCCCTATTCCTATGACTAATTTACCTGTAATGAGGAACGTAATTGCCCGCACAGTTAACTCTTACCTCCTTTCCATGTAAATGTAATGGCCCGATGAGAATTTATCGAAAGCCTACGTATGCTTGCCAACGATCATTCTGAATTCTTCGATGGGAATTTTCTCAACTGCATAGTAAATTCGTATGAATTTCTATAAATACTTTGTCGGTTACTAAAGGGGATATTAAAGTCGTCTGAAAAAATAAACGAACAAAGAACGACCGAAGACGTGTTGCATAAGCACGCTCTAGGCAAACGTGGGCTATCTTAAAACAGTGAATATCTTAAGAGCAAGGGAAACATCGTTTGAGAAGACCGGACGCATACCATTTAGCCAGTTTAAAAGGAATTCAAGAAGCCTTAGCAACAAAGATAGGGCTGATTGGGATGATTATCTCCGGCTTATAGAATAGAACAAACCTCGGACAGAAAACCTAATTTTCCTCGTCTAGATAGAATGAAAACACATTGAACAGTTGGCAGGCAACGAGTCAGCTATAATCGCGATCGCAGAACTGCTGCTATCGCTTTGCTTTTCATTGGAGCTCCAGTTTGGACCGCGGTCAAGCGGCCACGAGCATGCGATGATCGACAAAAACAGAAGGGAGTAAAAATGATGATTGCCCGCTCATGTGCCGTTTTCAATTAACACTAGCCCAAACCACAACTGTTCAAACCGGGAAGTCGTCGAAATGCCGTGCAGACACATCGATACACGCCAAATGTTATGCAAGTTTCGTTTCAGACGGAGCTGCGCACAAGCTCGTTAGTGAGTTGCAGCAGGTTACACGCAAACTTTCAATGTTTCATGACCCTAGCGTCCTAAAAGATACGAAAACACACTAGAGTCTAAGTGAAGCTTTAACAAACCCGATAACCTTTCCGATACAAACAAGAATATGTATTCGGAAGTGCTAGCCAAGCATAGGAGTCGGTGATCCTACAAAAAGCCGAATGAAGAAATCTTATTTACGACATACAGTCTTAACAATGGATAGTGGCTGATTTTCAGGAGGGGGTTCGTTTGGAGAACAAAAAAACTTACGGTGATTAAAATTTTCAGTCCAGTCTTTTGGAACGCAGAGTTAATTTACCGGAATAAGGCTTGTAACATTAGGTAACAATTCTGAAGTACACAGTACGGATGAACGCAACCAAACTCAGATATTGGCAGCTCTACCTGCAGTAATGTGCTTTGAGGATACAAAGTGCACAAACCATACTTCAAGCCTATGTACCAACGAAAGTCTCAGTGAGGAATTTGACCGATTAACTGGGGTCCGCAGGATGCGTCGGTGAGGTCCCACACAAGCGCGATTCTCCCCCTCGCCAACACAACTGACAAATGTCAAGGTCACAAATGACAATAAGTCGAAAATTCCAAATGACAATAATCGAAATTCCAGAATTTATACTGCACTAGTCAGTACGTACTGAGATGCCCTGCTACGAAGGTTTCACTCAACGGATCCACAATTAGAATTCATGAAGGATAGTCAGAACTGTCAGGTCGAATGAAGTCACTGCGCACCTTAAACACGTAAGCGAGAGTGCATGTAAACAAAGACCACTCGCTTTGAAGATCAAGATAAGCTGCGGCCATAGTCAAGGTAGGTCAAGAGATGCTGCCAAACATTAAAGTACCTTCACATTTCTTACCATCGTGTAAGGGAATCCGGTCTGATTGCCACGGCTAGTCGTCTGTGGTGGTTGAGCCGTTTCTTGCAGTTCGTTCAGTTTAGTCTCCAGAGTTATAATAGTTTCAGAGGCCTCGGCAAGAGCCTCACTAGCTAGGTGCTTTTCAGTGAGCACAGATTCCAACTCGGCAGAGAGCTCCTCCACCCTCGAGTGCACAGTGTCACACTGG